TTACAGTGTAATCAGTGAGGGGATTCTGCAGACTGTTGAGGGTTCAGCCTCCTGATGAGTCGGTGAAACTCCGACGAAAAAGTTTGTCACAGCCCCTCGTTTGTTGTCCTCTTCTCTCTCTCTGCCTACGGTTCACCGGGCAGTTCTGTTTGTGACGATATATATATATATATATATGCATCAACCCGTCACCACGTTGTAATCACGCTCGTGATTATCCCGCCTCTATTCTTCGTCGTGCTCGCCTCGTCCTCATCATCAGCTTGTCCTGAGAAAAGGAAAACGCGAAAAAGAAAGAAAGAAAAAGGGATTGTTTGATGCCCCGTGCGCGCGCGAGGGTGGGCGGGGGGGAAGGGAGGGAGGGGGAGAGAGACAGAGAGACACACACACAGAGAGAGAGAGAGAGAGAGAGAGAGAGAGAGAGAGAGAGAGAGAGAGAGAGAAAACACCTGTGCAAGGTACGAGGGGCTACCGCAACGCGCAACGGTACTAGGTGCTATACTTGCAACTTACCCTCTGTTTTGTGGCTCACTACCGATTAGTACTGAACGCACTGTCTCCCTCTGCAAGCACGAGTCCACCTGTGGTGCGCGCAATCCGCGTGGACGCAGCACTTCCCTGTACTGCACGCCCCATTGCAACAGACTGCACCCTTTCTGCAGTCCTTGTGGTTGCAACACTGCGTCCTCCGGCATGAGTTATCGCAGCACCTGTGCGAGGTACCTCCAAACTCCCGTCTGCAGTCACTATGTTGAACACACATGGGCGGGGAAAATACCCATAGTACGCATTTGCCGTCAAAGCAGGTCGAAGGGGCGTCACAATCTCGATCCGTCTTGCAACGGCGGCCGCGTGCAGCTTGACCGAACCGCCTTTCGCTCGCCAGTAGGACAATCGCGAGCAAGCAACAGAAGACAGACCACCTTCTTCCTCTCAATCCTCTCATCCTTCCCTCYGAAACTCCTGTGACAGTTGGACGAGAGAGTGATGTCTCTGCCGTGGCTAGCTGAGACGAGGAACCGACACGCCACATTGCGGGCGCACTCACACTGAGTCTCACTCTTTCCGTCACCGCCGTCGTTTGTGTCGACTGTGTTTCGCTACCACTCAGTCGCGAAACCCGGCGCTGAAAGCTGAAAGCATGAACACGAGTGTCGGCACACCCGGCCAGCATGCGTGTGTGTGAGCGCGCGCGCGTGCGT